AACTGTAAATTATGTTACTAGCTGTACTCCATTCCTAGCTGTCTCTATATTCCTAGCTGCACTCCATTCCTAGCTGTCTCTATATTCCTAGCTGCACTCCATTTCTAGCTGTCTCTATATTCCTAGCTGTACTCCATTCCTATCTGTCTCTATATTCCTAGCTGCACTCCATTCCTAGCTGTCTCTATATTCCTAGCTGTCTCTATATTCCTAGCTGCACTCCATTCCTATTCCTAGCTGTCTCTATATTCCTAGCTGAACTCCATTCCTATCTGTCTCTATATTCCTAGCTGCACTCCATTTCTAGCTGTCTCTATATTCCTAGCTGCACTCCATTCCTAGCTGTCTCTATATTCCTAGCTGCACTCCATTTCTAGCTGTCTCTATATTCCTAGCTGTACTCCATTCCTATCTGTCTCTATATTCCTAGCTGCGCTCCATTCCTAGCTGTCTCTATATTCCTAGCTGCACTCCATTCCTAGCTGTACTCTACTCTATTATTTGTTTTATTCCTAATTCTTTTTCCTTTACTTAGATTTCCATTAACTTATCATATATTAAATATAACCACGTTTTCAAACAGTTTTATATTAAAATGATCTCAATCAATTTATCTTCAAATTATCTGTAAACTGATTCGCTCACAATTAAATTAACTCACTCTAAAATTGCCTAACATCAAAAAAAAATAAGTGGGACAGGGCCGATTTACATCGGATTACTTGAAAAGTGTTCAATTTTGATTATTTTTGTAAGCTTCTGATTCTAGAGCAAAAAATGTGCGAGTCATTTTTGCAAATAAAAACCACAAACGAAAAAAATGGATATCTAATGCATACTTAATTTGACAAAGCTTTTAAGGCTCTATTCGTGAGGGACTCATGCATTTGGAATTTTATTAACATGCTCTTTAAGAATACTTCGAAGGGTCATTGATAATTAACATTTTATAAATTGTCTTAATTCTTTGTCTTTTTTCTTTTTCTTTTTGTGTTTAGAGCGATTTGTTGAAAATAATTATTATGAGGATTCTAAAATATTTTATTGAATTTATTCTGATTTTCCTTTTATTCCCACATTCAAGTGTATCGGAGGTTAGACTTTCATGAAGTATAACCTTTCACTTGTTTTATTTATATTTGCCCGGTGCGCTTGTTTACATCATTTATCCTATTTATCACACATTTTCGGCAAAATTGCACATTTCTCCAGATCTCTGCATTATTTTCTTTCAACGTTTTTCAAGTACACTTTATTTAAAGAGATACTTTCCCGATTTACAACGGTACCCTTAGTACCTTTGATTTTTTAAAGAAAAAGATATCATTAATGCTCTACTTAAAATTGATTTTTACCGATACTTGCGGATTTATGCATTAGAAAAAAAGTGTAGAATATTTCCCTTTTTCAGAGAGTCTGTCCCTTTAACATATACATGTACATAGCCGGTCTGTCCCTTTAACATATACATGTACATAGCCGGTCTGTCCCTTTATCATGTACATGTACATAGCCGGTCTGTCCCTTTATCATGTACATGTACATAGCCGGCCTGTCCCTTTAACACATACATGTACATAGCCGGTCTGTCCTTTTAAAATTTACATGTTCATAGCTGGTTTGTCCCTTTAACATATACATGTTCATAGCCGGTCTGTCCCTTTAACACATACATGTACATAGCCGGTCTGTCCCTTTAACATATACATGTACATAGCCGGTCTTTCCTTTTAACATATACATGTACATAGCCGGTCTGTCCCTACTTTAATTGTAGGGTTAATGAAGAATTACGATGAGGATTTTGAAAAACCAATTTTAAGATTTGATTTTGGAGATAAGTTTTATTTTTTTATCAATTTGAACTTTTTTCTTGTCCCTTCATAATTTCACGAGAAGTCTCAAAAACTATTTTTTAGAAAAAAGTTATTTCAAATAAATGAATCGTGTTCTCCTTCCTGACACCCATGAGACAAATCAACAATTCAGAATAAGATTTTAGCTCTTCTTAGAAATTGCAAAATTATAAAAGTTTGAAATGAAATTGTTATTTTACTTTGTTTTTGTGAACTTTAAATGTAATCGTTTGTTGATCGCAGCCTTGAAAACTAGAAATTCTCAATTTTATAAAAAACTGAAAAAGTGTATATTGAGTATTGACTTATTTATTAGCTATTTATGGATTTCCTCTTTTAATAAGAAAATTCCTCATGCTTTTGTAACTTCGATAAATAAATGACAAAAATAGGACAATTACGACAAATATACATTTGGCTCTGGACTTTCTGAAATTTATACTAGCTCAAGAAAAAAAAAACATTTTAAGTTATGATATTGATTAACATCCGCGCAGAATCAATACAATCATTAGACACTAACTGAACACAATCACTTGGAAATATGTTCTTAAAAATATTCATAGCACTATATTCAAAATCTTTGGACAGTTTGTAATAATTTGATACATTAAAAATGTTTAAACTTTTTTTACTTTCTCATGGGCGATCATACTTTTATATTGATAAAAACATTATGAAATGATATATTGTTATATTTGTAAAAATAGATATATTTATATATCATTATTTAGATGAGTGGGAATACAATGATGGTAAAGGGGGAGGACGGGCAAATGGTAGAATGTGAAATCATTTCATCAAAGGTAAAAGATATACTGTATGATTTTCTTAAAACTCCTTTACATAAGGTATGAATGTGTAGCATCTAGAAAGAGAGAAACAAAAATAATTTTGAATTTGGAAAAATCCTGTGACCCTGCATACACATCATAATTTGCTTGACTTCGTAAAAGTTTATTATTTCAATAGATTTGTATAAACACATTCTGTCACTTTAATTTACACTGACCATTAATAAGCTACACACACGACACCCACATAGTGTTTTTAACGACCATTAACAAGTTACACACACGATACACGCATAGTGTTTTTAACGAAGATTAACAAGATACACACACGACACCCACGTAGTGTTTTTAACGACCATTAACAAGTTCACACACACGATACACACATAGTTTTTTTAACGACCATTATTCAAAGATTCTAAGGAGTCCAAAGCACGTCAGCGGCCAGAGTACTTGTTTCGTCTCAAGTTCGTGTAAAAATACCTATTTTAAGAGTTAAAATTCGGTGTAAAGGATGCTCGAAACGTTACAGAGTAACAAAATAGATGTTAGTTCCACAATTTTTGAAAATATATTTCGGTCTGGATTGACCCTTTTCAGTTCTAACAATATAATAACCATCAACATCAATATTTAAAATTGTTAAAAAATCGCAAGAAAATAAACAAGAAATTTTATAAAAATAATTGTTGTCAAATAAAAAAGGAAACAAACTCTGATTATGATGTGTAAAAGAGATATTTTGTAAATATTCAATTAAAGAATGTTTAAAGACAATGATTTTATTCCTTGAAGGAATTGAGTCTTGCCACAAACTCTTATTTTTCAATCCTTAAATCTTTACAACCCAGTCCAATGTCGTAAACCTTAGATATTTCAAACTGTAAATTATGTTAATGTATTTTTTTAAGTATCGACAAAAAACATATTAAGCAACATGAAAACGTCACAGTTTACTTTTTGACTCACCTTGTATATTTATTGTTTATATAACTGATGATGTAACTAGAACAGATTTTAAATTTACCAAAATCAAGGATCTTTAATGAACAGGATGGACAGTCAATCCAAGCAACTTAATGCTTAAAATGAATGTTTAAGAGTGGTGTTTTTTACTTTGACTTAGTGTAAAATATGAACTTTGGAAAAGATTTCATTTTCTGTGTCATAGCTTTTTTCTTTGAACAGTCCCACAGAAAGGTTCATAAAACTATAACAGTTATGTAACAAATTTTAAGATAGGTTCGACTTTGAAGTGTCGCAACGCCTTAGTCATTTATACTTTTAAGCCCTGTAGCTGAAATGAAAATGTAAATTCTAACACACGAAAATGGTCAGAAAGCATTTAAAAAAAAAGAAAAAAACAATTAGAATTTTATTCTGCTTTTTACAGCTGTTATGAATGTAATAAAAAAAATTTTCCTTTGACAACGGATAAAAAATCTTTATTCATTCAATACACTTTCACCCCCAATTTTATTTAATAGTTACTTTAAGTTTCAACGACGACAATTCCTTTCATTTGTTTATTCATTTATTTATTTGTTTGTTTAAGGAGAAAGAATCTGTTTTCCAGAAATCTATTCCTATTTTCTCGACAACAGTTGCAGGAATATTCGGATTCTTAAATCTTGTCCCAGGTACTTTTCTTCGGATTCTTAAATCTTGTCCCAGGTACTTTTCTTTGGATTCTTAAATCTTGTCCCAGGTACTTTTCTTTGGATTCTTAAATCTTGTCCCAGGTACTTTTCTTTGGATTCTTTAATATTGTCCCAGGTACTTTTCTCAGGATTCTTAAATCTTGTCCCAGGTACTTTTCTTAGGATTCTTAAATATTGTCCCAGGTACTTTTCTTTGGATTTTTAAATCTTGTCCCAGGTACTTTTCTTTGGATTCTTAAATCTTGTCCCAGGTACTTTTCTTTGGATTCTTTAATATTGTCCCAGGTACTTTTCTTTGGATTTTTAAATCTTGTCCCAGGTACTTTTCTTCAGATTCTTAAATCTTGTCCCAGGTACTTTTCTTCAGATTCTTAAATCTTGTCCCAGATACTTTTCTTAGGATTCTTAAATATTGTCCCAGGTACTTTTCTTCAGATTCATAAATCTTGTCCCAGGAACTTTTCTTCAGATTCTTAAATATTGTCCCAGTTACTTTTCTTCGGATTCTTAAATATTGTCCCAGGTACTTTTCTTTGGATTCTTAAATCTTGTCCCAGATACTTTTCTTTGGATTCTTAAATATTGTCCCAGGTACTTTTCTTCAGATTCTTAAATCTTGTCCCAGATACTTTTCTTCAGATGCATAAATCTTGTCCCAAGTACTTTTCTTCAGATTCATAAATCTTGTCCCAGGTACTTTTCTTTGGATTCTTAAATCTTGTCCCAGGTACTTTTCTTTGGATTCTTAAATCTTGTCCCAGGTACTTTTCTTTGGATTCTTTAATAATTATTATTATATTCACTATTATTAAAAATTCATGTTATTTTACATTTCAGGTCTTGGAACTTTTCTAGCAGCTCTGACATTAATTTGTGGCGGGAAAACCAGTTATTCTAACAATCTTGAGGTAAAAGAAAGGCATGAGGATTGATGATAAAGTATAGTTAGGCCTTGACAACCAAATTTAAAGCTAGATTCACATGTCAAGGGTTACAAAATACTTTGAGTGAGTTGGTGAAAGGTAGGTATCCAAGAAAGAATTCTGATGACAAAGTATTTTTGAGGTTTGAAATGTCATATTTTAGTTTTTAAGTGCAATCATGTTTTTACATCTACAAAAACAAGTTTGTCATCGGGAAAAAGAAAGTTCATATCGTATATTCCTAAATTTTGCAAACAAGTTTGCTAATGTTGTAAACAAGTTTGCTGATGTTGTAAACAAGTTTGCTAATGTTGTAAACAAGTTTGCTGATGTTGTAAACAAGTTTGCTAATGTTGTAAACAAGNTATCCTGGTTTTCAAGTACCCCAGCAGAGATAGGGTTAATAGAATAGGCATAGATTAATTAACAATAAGAGACAGAACACTATATGTCGTTTTTTCAAGATTTTGGGGGTTTTCGTTCACAATAACCCTAAGAAAGGCCTAAAGGAGTTACGCGCATGCTCATTCTCTGTCTTGTAATTCAACGCTGCCTGCGCGGAACTCTTTTGGGCTCCTGCCTCAGGGTTATTGTGAACAAAACCTCGTAAATCTTGAAAAGACGACATCTAGTGTTCTATCTGTCAAATTGTTACTTAATCTATGAGACTAGGCAGAGGCGCAACAAGGGGGGGGGCGGGTGCCCTCACCCCTCTAGCACCTCATTATTCAATTATGCTTTTTGTAGCCCTAGACATGCACATTTTATAACTATACTGCACATGCTATATCATGAGTATTTTAGAAGTAGTTTGCACGTTAGCTTTGTATCACTGCATGAGCCAAAGATTTTGGAGTTAGTATCGGGCACATTTTTAGATTTATGAAAATGTAAAATTCTAAGCAATGTTTCTAATATAAACATTCAAGCAGAGTAAGACCGGCTTTTATTTCGCCTTATTTTGGATATGATTTGAAGATCACTTGTGATCTTTTTGTGATATGTTAATTGGTGAAAATTTTTATTTCTTTAGGGATTGCTGGTTGGTCTTGGAACAGCGTTCCTTCAGTTCTTGAGCGCGTTCCTGGTTGTTGGATGGGTCTGGAGTATCATGTAAACTTTACAACTATTAAAGGGACTGTATATGTGATTTCAAGCGACCGTCAATTTAAAGAGAGTTATGACTGACCGATTCAAAACGGAACCGAACCCTTTAAACTTTTCTAAGATCAATAATGTGTAAGAAATCGTCTTATGTCTATATTGTAATTCCGTTAATTTCCTTTATTGTTTCTGAAACAGAATTCCACAAGTCATTTTGCAGAGAAATCAGGATCGAAAATTATAAATTTTCAAAGATGGAGACATCTCATTTAATCTTGAACAGACATTGCTTTTAAAGATAACGTTGTGACATAGGACATACCTCTTAAAAAATGAAGACCCACTCCACCGGGGGTCTTTTCATTAATATCTGAAAATAGAAGGCTCTTCATATTTGCATCCAGGATAAATGTCGGCCAAGTTCTTGCTTGTATTTTCGATACCGATACAATAGGCCATATTGCTAAAATGGCCACAGTCACTTATAACAGACACTTAGAGTAAATATGAGTGTAATTTGAATTGAACTTCCATACAAAGATGGCAATGCCAGATTCACAACAGTACCAGTTTATAAGCTTGGTCCTGATAAAGTTTGAATTAGATATCAATGTAATTTTAAAACTGATTATTTTTTAAGTGACTGCTGGTACCGTTGTAAATTGGGCATTACCATCTTTGCATAGATGGTCACCTGATAATACTCAAACAGTCCCTTTAACGGTTTAGATATTAATTTTTTTCCAAGATGTTATTTTGAAAATATAATTTTAATATTTTTGACTCTTTTTCCTCTTTTAAGGCATGGTGTGTTTATGGTGAGAAAGGCAAATGAAGCAAAGGAACAAGAGACAAAAAGAAGAAACCTGCCACGATGAAAAATTAAAAAATATCAAAATAGTGTGCTGTAAATTCTATTCAAACCGGTTCTTTTTGTCCTACTATAAACAAATGGTTCTTATTGCTATTTTTTTTAAATCGTAGTTTCTCCATAAAAATTTCTCTCGGATTATGTTGCAAAGGCAAGAGAAAACTTTTTGAAAATGCAAGATCGGACAAACCACTCTTTTTTTGGAAGGTCACTTGAAACTGAGTCGTCGGTCCAATAAATTAAAGATTTTTAGAAATATTGTTTTTGATTATCTTTGGCTTTAATCCTTCCCACTATAATTACCAAATAAATTTCATTTTTGGAGTAAAATATTTGAAAAGATAAAATAAAAAATTACAATTAAAAATAAGTAATATTACAAAAAAGAGGGGATGTGTCTGATAGTCTGAATCTAAAATAATTGAACAATTAAACATTTAAATTTATAATGATGTGAAAAGAGATTTTAAGAAATTATGGTTTTAAACAATACATTATACACTGTAAATAGTTCACTAACTTGTCAGTCTTGTACATTTTTGTATTTCGGATGAAATAAAAATAAATCAAAAATATTCTACCCGGATTTCTTTTTCCATGTTTGTAGAAATTTCTCACGCATCTTAAAGGAATGTTGACTAATTTTGAGTAGTGGAGTTACAAAACAATTTTTTACAAGTTAATGATGAATTCATGTTTCTTTCCGTCCAATATTTGTTAGAGAGTATTTAAGATTAACAGACTGCAACGGATTTCAAAAGTTTTATATAACACGCAAGCTTGCACATGTAAAAACCCTATCAATTTGTTCTTTATATTGAACTACTCAATGCACTTAAAAATAACGTTTTTTTCAATTTTGAGAAACTAGACAAAGTTTTACTAAAATATTTTTAGAACAACATTGTACAATAAACTAGACAGATGGAGATATTACTGGTTTTGATTGTACTCCCAAGTATAGAAGAAAAGAAAATTTTAAATTTGCTCTTTTCAATATCTCTATATACAATTAAAGAAGTGATGATCGCGTCGAAAACATACAATTTACTTTTGTTTGAAGAAACGCAACTGGACTAAAAACAATATCTCAAAGCAATTTTGATACATACAATTTTTCTTGAAGTTGACAGGAAACATGTTCAGAGCTGGGAACTTTTGAATGGTGGATATCGGGATTAATGCTTAACTCACTCTTATTCTTAATCTCCAGATTAAATAATGCTTGTTCTCCTCTTGTTATTAATCTCCAGATTAATTAACCAATCGGGATTCAGGATATCAAATTGTCAAGTTTTCAGCTCAGGTTTATGGCATGCGTAAAACCTTTTCATCAATTGTATCAAGAATGTTATCAAGCTTTTAAAAGTTTATACAATGTTTATTATTTATCTACATGATCCGTGTTTATCATATTTTTAACACAATATTCTTTCGGTACACTGACTGTTTGCCTTCATAAGAGATGAAAACTTATCCAAATTATAATTTATTTACGATATTTAAAATATTTACAAATTAGTTAATTTTCCGTGAGAGTAAAATAATCCAAGATATATTTCAAACATTACAGAACTGATCACTTGCATTGCACTCAAATTTTCCAATTTTTATATCTTTGAAACCTGATGTCTAATACTGTTGATATTTCAAACTATATGAATTCTACCAGATCTAATTTTAAAAGTTTGAGTTATTAAAGGTTTACACCGTCAGGTTGCAAAGATGGTATTAGAGAATTGGAGTTTGAGGCATATGTTCAGTTTCTTTGTCAAAAAAACGTTTTTTATATACATTTTAGAACTGTAGGCGTTGTCCCTTTTTATCATAATGGAACATTATAAATATTGATATTGCACATAGTTAACACAAATATAATTTATATTGCACATTTCTACCAGTGTCTTTGATTCACTAAATCACAGAGATTCTTTAAATATTGCACAACCCCCACACAATTTCCGGAAGAAAAAGAGTACAAAACATAAAATAATAAAATTAATTTCCTAAAGTACAATGTTTTTTTAGTAGATAATTTGACATGATTTTTCAACAGAAATTGTCTTTAAGCTTTAGCTAGCTCAGATGTTAGGAAATATCTACAAACCCTAGATCGACTTTTGAAGAATTTTCATTGAAAATAAGCAGTCTTCAATTTTCTTCTTGGTAGTAAAATCAGTACTCTTCAGAACTTGTGGTGCTATAGTTTGGTTCTGAATGCTCCACGCTTGTTGATACCTTGTTAAAATACCCACTCTGCTCTTTCTCCTCAGTCTCCTTCCTAGCACAGAAGAGCCAAGAGAGAACTCCTCTTTTCTCCTCTGGGTAGTCTCCTGACATCCTCAGCTTACTCTTCATCTGCTTCCACAAGCAGAGCATGAAAATTGTCAGAAAGAGGATTACGGCTAGGCCACCCACCACAGAACTTGCAATCAGTGCACTCTTTATACCTTCAGGTACATCTTCAACGCTCTCATCAATATATTGATCAAGATAATCCATAACTTCATAATCCCCTAGCAGGGAGTTTTCACTTAGACTGTTTATGTCAAGGTTATCTTCAACAAGATCACCGTTGATGTCAAAATAGGTTATTGGACTTCTTGTTGTGGTTGAAGTACGTCTATTGGTGACTAAACCTGAGCTTCCAGATCCCCAGTTTCCACTTAAACTAGTGTTAAATGGATTGCTGTATCCGCCTCTATATCCACCTTTACCAAAATCCATTTGAATATATTTTGGCCGCTCTTTCTTTTGGACTTCTTTGTCTTTCTCTGGTGTCTTAGCTCCATAGATAATATCCGGCTCTGAGTCTGATTTTCTTGTGATTGTGTCAAAGATTTGGCTAAGATCTGGTACAGTCAAATCATCTTTTCTCTCCTTAAAGTCGTCAACAGTCATGTTTAGATTGCCAAGTGTATAATTCATCATATCATCATTTGGGGAAGTAACTGCAACCATTTCTTCATTTTCATCCTGCTTTTCTGCAATTGAATCTTCATAATAATCTTTAAACTCATTTTTATCAAAAGATTTTTTTTCTTCCTCAACTTTCTCTTCTTTTGTTTCAGAGAGTTTTTCCAAATCTAAAATCTTCTCATCTAAAATTTTATCCTCTTTTTCAGGGGCAGATTCAGAACTGTATCTACGGCGAGTTGTTCTTTCTCCAAACCTTCTATTGGCTGAGGTTACCATATTTTGGGCCAGGGTTGTACTTTTAGCTGTGGTTGTCACAGTTCTAAACTTCTTTTTAAATTTTGCAAACAAATCTATGGCACTTGTTTTTCGTTTAGGATTACTTGATTCTTTAGTAGTTGTAGTTGCTGCTGTAGAGCTGGATATTTCAGCATCCTCTTTTGATGAGTTTGGCCTCCATTTCCTTTCATTGTTATATTCAGGTTCTGAATCATCCTCTGGTTCTGTTTCTGATTTGGTTTCCAATTTTGGGCTGTTTTTATTTTTATGATACTTTAAAACTGCATAGATTGCATTTTTGTCTCCTCCCATAACATCTGGAAGAGAAAATCCTACAATTTGCAAAACCTCACTTAGACTCATTGGACTAATTTTCTTCATCAATGATTTCACATCCATACTTTGAGCTTCTTTCCGTAGATCCTCATCATCCCTTTTCTCTGTGTTGTTGACTTCATTTGCATTATCCTCTTCTCTAGATGATTGATAAGACCTTGAGTTTGATTTTCTCTCCATCTTTGGTCTTGATGGCCAGGGCATTTTTAACTTATTCTCAGAATCTGTTTCATCAGCTTCAAGAGATTCCTCTTTCTGAGATTCTGATTCTGCCATTTTCATTTCTTCATCATCTTCATCACCTTTTCCATTATCAGACAACTGTTCCTCCAGAAAGCTGTCATCTCCCATTGCTTTGAAAACTAAATCCAAAGCTTCTGGAACTTTTTTAAATAGATCAGACACTTGAAACCCTCCACTCCTAAGTAATGGGGTCAACTTTGATACAGGCATCTTTTTTAAAATATCTTTGACCTGTACTTTGGAGTAATCTCTTGGTGCCCCAGAATTTTTCTTGGTTTTCAATTTACTGATATGTGTTAGGGAGTATCTATTTTCTTCCTGCACATCAGATATTGAAGTAGCAGTTGAGGGAACTGTTGGTTTAACAATCGTTTCCAAAGTTTTAACCGTTTCTCTTGCCTTGGTTTTCTGAAGTCTGATGTGTGTCTTGGAATATTCATTTTCTTCCAGTATATTACTTATATCCTCTGCTTGTGGAAGTTCGCTGGTTGAAAAAACAACATCCAAGGGCATAGCATCATCTGATGGCAAACTGGTGGAAATCCTAGTACTCTCTTTCATGATGCCAGATTCTTCAGAACTAAGTTCTTTATCATTGTAGGATATCGTAGCAGATACTTCTGGATCAGTTTCCATTACAGATTTGGGTAGATCTTCGCCCATTGGAATTATGGTTAAGGGAGCATCATCCTCAAACTCAGGAATACTGGAAATAAAATCATTGAACTCTACTTTAGGTTCCTCGCTTGAAAAGGGTTCAGGGTTCACAGTTGGAAGAAAAATACTTGGCATTGAAGAAGATGTTGAAGTTTGCTCCTCAGTTTTCCCCTTTTCTACAATGTTTTCAAAAGGAACAACGTCATCCTCACTTGGAAAATCTAAATCAAAAAAGGGTCCAAAAAATCCCAACCCTTCTTTACTTTTCTCATCAAATTCAGGCTTCTCATTTGGGATGATTGATTCAAATTGTGGGGCTGTGGTGGGATCATTAAACAGGTTTATCTTTATATTTTCCATGGCTTTAATAAATGGTGTCTGAATATCAAAGTTTGGACGTTTGCTGATTATCTTGGTTCTCCTTCGATCTTGATCATCATAATTGATACGAGGAGGAAGTTGTTTACTCGTAAAACTTTGATCATCTGAATCTCTGTTGTACTGGTTGACATCAAACATTTTGGGTTCCTCCTCCATGGCCATATCATCTAACTTTGCGTCGATATTTAAACCTTTGTCCAAGTCTATTTCTGGGAATTCATCAATCATATCACCTGCAATGCTTTCCATAGACTTCCCGGTAATTTTTGACCTAATTTCTGAGTTGGGACGTCTCATCATAACTTTTGTTTTCCTACGATCCTGATTGTCATAATTTGGAGCTGTAGTTGATGTTTGTAGGTCCAAAGCATCTTTTCTATGTTTATTGAACAGCTCTCTATCAAAATTTCTTTCGGCAGAATTTCTGTTGAAGTAGTCAGGATTGGGTGTATGCTTATCACCTAAATTTGGTGTTTCCTTGTTAAGATTGTTATCAATATCTTTGAAATCGTTAAACTTGTTTTCTTCTGTTCTTTCCCTTGGGAGTTCTCTATCCCTCATCTCTTTTCTTCGTACTCCTATGGGCTTTCTGTTAAACCTTACAGTAGGTAAACTTGGTTCTTTATTTTCTTCTTCTTTCATTTCTGATCTTTGATTAGCTTGACCTAATCTGTCATAATTCATTGAATATTTCTTAGATTGAGATATTTCTTCCTCTAGGCCTGACTGCTGCTTAAAGTGTTCAAAATCTGAATTCCAACGTTTAGGTTTTATCTTAATTCTTTGTTGTTCCTCTCTCTCTTCAACTGTTTCTTCACTTAAAACTGGTTTTTGCGTAGAACTATGTACACTCCCCCATCTTATATTTTCATTATCTGTATTGAGGTTAACCCTGCTATTCTCCTCAGCCTTGGATTGGTCATTATTGATAACATCTGTTTGAAACCAGGACTCGGTCTGGGATCTAACTTCCTCGGCATTCTTAGTTGTGGAGGAGGCGGGGCTATTAAAAATACCAAAACTCAAGGAACCAGGATGATCTTCAGAGAATATTTGTTTACGTCTTCCAGCACTATTTGTTGTTGTTGGCGGTTGCATTGAGAAATCCTCAGGTTCATAGAACCGTATACTAGTACTCTCATCATTCTTGGTTGTTTGAATCTGTCTCGGAGTAATGTCTGGCCAGACCTCCTGCTGCTGTTTTATTCTTATATTGTTCGGAGCTGATGGTCTCAAGGTTTCTTGTCTTTGTGGCGCCTAGTGATAAATTATATGAAATATTGTTTTACTGGAATTTGCGTTGAATTTTGACCTCTCTTCATACGATTAAAAAAAAAATTTCTCCAAAAATTAAAACATTACCCTCTATGGGGAGTATATAAAACATTTTTAGAAGTTTAAACAAGTTTTCAGTAGCTAATTCTTAAGCATTATTATCTTAAACTTTTATCTTAAACAGTTTTCATACTTTTCCTTGAATTCTTCTATAGAAGGTCTTCTATTCACGAAAGGTCTCCCACCCCCTTGAGATTTGATTTCTGGTCAAAGGGTTTGTTTGAAAAATAGTTTGCTGTACAATTTATAACTGTGTTTACCCAAATTGGATTAGACTTCAGTGAGGACTGTTATGGAATCTCTGCCTGTTTACTGAAAGTCCCTGCAACTGTAAACTTGGTAATATTTTTGCAAATTAATAAATACCCAATTTAAAGACTTTAAATCCAAAAGTAGTTGATAATTTGAACAAGCCAATCCATTTTAACAAATCCTTTCCTCCAGTTTTAATCCTTCTTGGTCTATACTCTCGGATTTCTTGTCTCCTACTTCCCGCATGTTCATAAATGTCGTCTTCATATAGTGCACCACTCGCCTGATTTTCTCTGAAATAATACTTTGTGTTACGCAACGCCGTGGGAAAACATGAAGTAAATAACTCTAGTAATTCAGAAACATCTGACATTACATAATTTCTAGTATTTATTAATTTTTCATTGATTTGCCATCTTTGTAATTATATATCTTTATCTTTTTTTTCATTTTACATTTTACATCATATCATAAAATTTGTTTGACCACGCTAGATTTGTACAATAATTATAAGGTTTGAATTGAACGTATATGTAGTAAAACTGTTGTAAACTTGACTTAGCCTCACACATGCTCAACTACAGGGTGTCCCACGAAACTTGACAGTTGTTAAAAAGTTTTGAATGTCTTCTTCTATTTATTATATTGGACATTAAAGACTTTTTGCAGGTTATTTCGTTAAAAACATCTTTTTCTCAAATATATATTACTTTGAAATCAATTTTACTCTAATATAATTGGCATACAATAAACTTTATCATTCTTTTTAATATCAAACAACTTAAGTAATTATGGAAGAAGACATTTTAAACTATTCACCAGCATTCATGTTTCGTGGGACACCCTGTAGCTAAAAGAAAAGTTATGGACACTGAAAATGTCCAAACTTTGTCATATGTTATCTCTGTCTTTTCCTCACTTAGTTTTATATTGTGCGGAATTGACATCGAGCGGAGCCAGATGATGCTTATTACTAGGTTTAAGCCTAAATCCAATGCCATTTTAATCAATAAACATACCACACAAAGCAATCTGCCTTCATAAGCTACGAGATGTAAATGAAAAACATACTTCTGTAGTTTGTGTCAAATCATTGAAAAAATGTACAAAATGTAACTTTAAACTTAGCATAGACTAATTAAATTAATTAAAGAAAACGATCTAGTGTAAATCTGAGATATTTTAAATTAATTTAAAGTGTTTGATCTGACATAAGTATCACAAGTCTACGATATCGGGTTGCGCAGATATAGGGATTAAAAAATCAGATTTTGCGGTAAGAAATTAGTTTCTTTAAGGGAATGTAAGCGAATTTTAAGTAACCATGTATGCAAATACTCTTGAAACCATTATCTGAAGATATGAAAGATAATATCGTTTTTTTTATGATTAAAAGTCTTTAATTCTGATAATTTCTATATGTTTTCCTGTTCCTGCAGCAGAAATGCGCAATTTAATTTCGAAGAGAAACACCAATTAAAAATTAATTAAGTGAGTTCTTGACACATAATCTGATTTTTTTATATTTTTATATTTCAAACGGTTAAAAGAACAATTAATATCAAAATTATATATTTTACCTAAAATAGTTCTGCTGGGATCTTCGTTCCCCCACTAGTTCTTTATTTATAGCCCTGGCCCCTTGGTCGGCCCTAGGAGCACCCCTTGGGACACCCCCACTCCCTGCTTCTCCTCCTCCTTCCCTTCGTCTTCCACCGAATAATTTTCTGCGATCTTCGGACGGTTTTCGGAGCTGTCCTTGTGCGACTGGAGCTGTTCTAAACTCATCTTGACCTGTTGGAGCTGTTTTGAGCTGATCTTGAGCGATTGGAGCTGTTCTAAACTCATCTTGAGCTATTGGAGCTGTTATAAGCTTATCTTGAGCTATTGGAACTGTTCTGAGGTGATCTTGTCTTTCTCGTCTGGTATCACTGTTATCTGTTCCTTGTGTTTTAGGAAGAATTTTCCGTCTCCCCCAATCTCCCAAACCATCCAACCCTGGATCTGACCAGTCGGAGAAATATCTAAAATATTCAAAAATTTTAAATTTTGGATTTGCTTGCGGCATCCTATGTCTGACATATACTTTCATTACTAATATACCCCCCCGACCTATACCCCAAC